TTGGTTTGCTACAGTGCCTGCCTTCATATTCCTATCCTCCATCTTCAAAACAATCATACTTCTTTTTTGTTCATGGCTTGCAAAGCCAACTTTTCAACATCTGATTCCTGTATCACTTTCACTTTGAGGATGTGGGGGGAGTGCTGAGAGAATTGCTATCTTTTTCTTGGATTTGGCATTTTCCTTGACTGAACTTTCAAAGCTGTCACCAAATTCTCAGTTTTCTGACAGTCTTGCTTATTCAGGTTCCAGTTTCCAAATTCATGTTGAGAAGCTTTTCCCAGTAAGTTTGGGTATTGTGCGCTCAGTACTCCAGAGATCACCATCTTTCTTTGCTGTCAAACATGGCCTGGTTCTTTGATTCAGCTTAATCCCACAACTGTCTCTTAAAAACCCAAGGAATATTTCCATTAACCTAATAGAGAACATGTATAGTAATGGGAGATCCTGATTAAACAACAAGTACACCAGTAGTTCGGAGAGAGAGAGAAAAACAGAGGCTTCAAAAAACTAGGAACTTTGTTCTCAGTTAGAAAAATTACTCAGCATGCTAATTTAATCTAGGGAATTGTTGAGACAGGACGGGTGGGAAGAGAAGAAGTGGAAGAACATCCCAAAAAGTATCAGTTTACATCAGAGGGGATCAGCCTTGGTAGATAAGCAGGGAGGATAGTTAGGGTCATTCAAACTTTCTAATCCTATTTCTGATGCCCACAGTGAAGCATTTTCAGGAGTAAGCAGTGCACTGTTGCTTTTCTAACAAGATACACATTCTTAGAGGTATCCACTTTAAGCAAAGCTGTCTGTTGGAATCTTTTTAAAGAGATGAATGTAGAAGAGAAGCAAAGTCAGAATTATGCTGTAGGTTTCTTTCCATGGATGTACTTTCAGATAGCATTGCTGTCTTCAAAGAATGATTTCATTTTTGTCCTTGCCACTCCAGTCTTGTAAATTGGAAGCCACAGATTGTACCTTGTGTTTGGTTACCTTCAATTCATTTATTACTCCTTGAGTGCAGAGTACAGTGCTGTGGCTGCCATCCAAGATACCATATCATATTTTATTGATGTGCAACCAAGCTGGTGTTTCAGCCAGGGAACCATAACAGGCCACCTGTCTTTTTGGAAAATTTGGCACTTTTCTACACAGAGTTGATGTTATGGAACATTACGTCTCACGGCCATAAGTTCGCTGCTGAACTGTTGCCATTGTTCAGCTTTCAGTGAAGAGTACTTGTAGCAGTATAAATTAGATATTGAGGTAGCTACCAAAGCAAGAATAGCCCTACTCTAGTCCACTGCAGTAATCTAGTAATTTTACAAATGTATCTTTTATGGCCTAATAATCATTAAGTTTGATTGTATGTAAATGTTCTTTATGTTTGTTTACATCTCCAACTGTATTTTTAATAATAGATCTTTGAGCTTTGCAATGCCACTTTGAGTCCCACCCATGGGAGAAAAGCGGGATAAAAATAAAGAAACAAGTAAAAAATGTCTGCTGTTTGAAAAAAAAAGAAAATTATAGAGAAACATCATATGGATCTGATTCATGTATCAAAGACTTAAGAACTTATCAGATGTGCCATTGAAATGGTTGTGAATCGCAAGGTCCTGGCAGTGGTCGTGCACGGGACATGGGGAACCGTCATCCCATTCCCTGTTCTGTCATGGCTTCCTCTCTTCCTCATCTTCCTGTTTTTGGTGGCTTGACCCATCTTTCTGTATGAAAAGACAGAGAACCTGCTGATGTCTGCCGCTGCCATTTTTTTGGCAGCAGCACTTCACCCACAGGGCCACCCTGGAAATAGTTATCCAGGGTATGATGAGAGCCATCGGTCTCCATGGCTGAACCTCAAAAATCCATCTGCCGCCTCCAAAAAAAATACGTGTGAAGAGGTCCTTAAATTAGAAGAGACTGAGCTGTAGAGAAGGTTATTTTTAAAATACTAACTGCTCTAACTTTGTTTTGTAATTATAACTAAACTTTGAAAAATAAGTTTAGCCTTTTCTAAGGCAATTTTAGGTTGGGAACAAATTTTCTTATATATAACAAAGCTAGCATAAGCTTTAACAATAGCATGGTTGATGATATATTAATATTGTCTGTGTGCTACAATGTCCATCACGTTCTCCTGAAGACATTAAAACACATATGTATATTGATGAGACTTATAAGCTCATCAATTTGGTGATGGATCTGGGCACTGTATGTTTTTACCCTGTTTCCCCTTCCCTTCTGCTCCCTCACCCATATTGTGCTTCAGTAGTTATATTTATATTTTAATGTACCAAACATACCAAGTTTGTATGAAAATGTGACTATTTCCTGTGCTGGTCAATGACCGAAATAAATGATTTGATTTGATTATAAGCTCATCACATGAGGTGAAATCAGCATTGTAGCACGCTGCCAATATGCTTCCTCCTCAGAGCCCGCCAGACGCCATCACATGGTGTACAGCAACTTCTGGATCCATGGAGGAAGCATCCTGACAGTGTGGTAGGACACTTCCCATTGAACATGGGAGACTTCCCATGTTCCATAGAGAACAATGGGGCCAGTGTGGGGGCAAGCCACATGGTGACAATTCCCCACATGTGGGCAAGGTCCCACCTCGCTGTAGGCGAGGTGGGACTCAGGGTGCCAGGATTGCCCTCCTGCCTCATTTATTCGCCACGGAGGCTGGTGAATCACCTCACAGGACCTCATCAAAGTTAGGTTCCTAACCAGTCTGGAAGTTGATTGTCTTATTGTCTGTGTATGTTCCCTAATGTCTTAAGAATCCTTAAACATTCTGATACATTAATTGTTATTACTGGTATCGGCAATCATTTCTAGTTCATTTGAGTATTTCAGTACTCCATGGCTGTAGGCATAAAAACCTGTATGTTTATTGCTAAGATATATTATTATTTAACATCATCTCTGATTTGTCCCTGACCTCTGTGCTCTCACTCTCTCTCTAACTGAATTTGGTCATAGCAATTGGGTCTGTTTTTAAGTACTCCATTTTGTATCTTCTGTTATTTCTCACCTCATCATTGTTATTTCAAATACATTACTGAGCAAGAATTTTGCTCTCTTTTTTTGAGCTTCATGAATTATCAGCTTGTAAACCAGTTTCCTAATTATTATTGAGCCAATAATAGTTCTCAAAAGCAATCCTGCATATGAAGTGCAAGTGCCAAAAGTATTTTTAAAAAATCATTAAAGATAATAAAAAGATGATAAATCTATTACACTGAAAAGTGAAAGTCAGATAATGTATTCCCATCTGAGCAGTATTACAGATTTAAACTAAATCAACAAAATTAGAAAGAGTGAAAATGGCTGTAAAATGATGGGAATATCTTCATTTCCTCCCTAATAATTTCTCATTAACCTTTGAAGGCTTATTTGGGGGTGGGGGGGGATCACATTAGATGATTGCATCATGTGGTGAATCTGTTCATAAAAATAGATTTTACATAGATCTCCCCCACAAGATGATATTTCTGACCTCCATTCAGTTTTTAGTAAAATATGAGGATAATATAATGTGGATCTTTTTGTATGTAAATGAATGTTTGGGACATGGAATATTTCTGTTAAAAAGGAAGAGTGTTGATTCTTTCAAAGACAGTATTCTGGTTGTTAAAACTGTGATAGAAGTATAATGTGTGTGTGCTTCACTTGGCAAAGAGATAGAAGGTAATATTTCCCAGCACCATTTAAAAACTAAATGGTCAAATCTATTACTCACAAGCAAGCTGCTAAAACCGGTGCTGATTTGAACTTGGAACGTGGATATAGCAATATAATTTCAGTGTGTTATAGATAAGTGTGGAGCTAAGAAGATGAGTTCAAGGCAACTCCAGGTTTAAATGATCCGAATGACATATATTGGGGTGGGGGGGGGGGGAGACAAGCCTCTATTATTCTTATCATATGAAGCTATGCAAGGATGTCAAAATTCAATAATAATAAAAAAATARCTTTATTTTTGTGCCCTGCTTCCATCTTCTCGAAGGGACTCGGGGCAGCTCACAAGGGGACAAGCCCGATATTCTACATATAACAACAAAATTCATAAAAAACATTTCAACAATATAAAACAACTGGTGCTAAGCAGATGACAAAATTAGGACCTGGTGTGTGTGTATAAGGAGAGCACTGCATCTCTAAAAGGGAACAGTGGTAATATGTAAGATCTAATTATGGAACAAATTGGAAACCAGCCTTATTTGGGGAACTATCTAATTGAAAACACAGTGAAACATCCATGTCTTTAGTTCTTTTTGGAAGGTGGACAAGGTGGGTGCCAATCTAATCACCCTGGGGAGAGAGTTCTAGAGCCGGGGGGGGACACCACCAAGAAGGCCTTCTCTCTCATTCCCACCAAACACATTTGTGACAAGGGTGGGAGTAAGAGAAAGGCCTCCCCAGAAGATCCTAGAGATTGCGTAGGTTCGTAGGGAAAGATGCAGTCACAAAGATTCAAGATCTTTATATAGATGTCAACTTGAAGTTATAGCTTTCTTCAAATCCATAAGTTTCATCTCCAAATGGTAGAGTAGATTGATCAATGAAAAAAATTATTCATAAGTATCGACAGATACAAATTTGCCAAAAGAAGGATATATTCAACAGCTACCATGGGTGGTACCATTTGAAAGACCTAGGAATCTGTCTGAGACTGCTGATTTGCAATGCTACCCAAAGATAACAGCATGTTAACTATAGTGTTTGTTTTTATTACCTTTTTCTGTTACAAAAGGTGAGAGGGACTTACCAGTACTTTTCACTTCATTTGTGCAAGAGAGAATATTTATTGATCCATCTCAATCAACAGAATGTTTTGGACTGCCATGACAAGGGGATAATGTAATACCTGCATTGAGATATTTTTTCTACATACCTTTCTTTTACAGTTGCTTAACATTCAATCACAATCTTTACCTTTGTGGTAGTCCTTGCATCATTTTACATCTGAATTTTCTTTATTTCTTTTTTTCCAGATTTCAGAAGTTTTGGCTCAGAAATTGAACCAAAACTCCATCCAATTTGACTTGAAACCTGGTGTTAGAATCTTTGTCCACGCTGCCCATTTAACAGCAGGTTGGTATTGATTCCTTAACATTTCAGCTCATGTTGCTAGCACAGTTTATTGTCAAGTCTTCACTGCAATGCTGTAGAAATGTTCTATTTTTTAAATACCTGAAAGCTTTGAGTTTCTATTATGGTGTATTGAATGTAATTTAATGGAATCACTGCCAGACTTACAGTGCAATTTCTGTGCATCTACTTGAATGTAAGCCACCTTAGGTTCAATTATACTTAATTCCAGTATGTGTGAATGGAATTGCAGTCTCTGCAAAACAGTTCTCTGTTGTGAACAGACAAGTGCTTTCTAAAACCTTTGGCAAGAAACAGCTCTTTCTTTATTGTTTTTAAGAAAGTGGATTTGTCCAGAAAATTATGTGACTTGATATTGTATTTATGTATGTTTAGAAATTTTAGCAAGAAAATTAACCCAAAATGATGGGTTGGCTTATCCATGGTTCAATTGTCTTCTCTGAGTAGAATGGTGAAAGGTGAGAACTTACTCTGTCCTGAGAGAACAAAAGAAAAAAGAAAAAAAGCACCAATCCCTTTACTCTCTCTGTTGTGCCACTGCTTCTGGGCTTTTTCAAAACCTTGGCAAGGAAATGGCCATCAAGGGGTCAAGGTTCTTTGTCTGCCTGTATTACAATTGGTGCTTTCCCCTCTCCGTAGAATGACTCAACTTATCCATGAGCCTTATAAATTTTCATAATTTTGGCCACAGAACCTGCTTTCATCTTATACACAGGTATATCTGGTCATTACTCCCCTTTGATTTTTCACTTGTCCCATTGGCCTTTCATTGACCATTTCATTCAATAATGTTATTAATTTTCTTCTATCATGTTATTAATTTTATAACTACCAAAGACTATTGGTAGTTGAGGATTTATGCAGAGTTATGCAGAGAACAGCATGCATGATTTCCCCCCTTAGAATCAGTAGTAACAGACTTGGCTTCTCTTTGGAAGCATTTCTCAACACCCAAGAAACTGTTTTTAATCATTTTTTGCAATATTTGTAGACAATATTTGTAGACAATATTTCCATCCCTACACAATAGTATGTTCCAAGATTCTATTGATTTTATTCCATGTCCATGTTTTGAATAAATATGTGTACAATTTTGTTGATTGTGTGGAGATAGTTTCCAAGTACATATGCCTTTACAATTTTAGATCCCAAATAGAGTACCCGTTTTGAAGAGATTTTAGTTCTTACTCCCACAAAAATGGTAAAAAAAAGATATCTGCCTCCATAGTGCAACTCTGTCCACCTATAGGTATTGCATCAATTTGATTGATAGATATATTAGACACACAATGAGATAGTTAGGAACTCTGTATAAAATAAAAGCTGAAAATCAAAGCTGAAGTATCAGGAAGACAGACATGCTGTTTCCATGGCATGCTGTCTATATATAAGGAAACAACTTCATTGTTTGTTTGTTTTTCACTGCTGGAACTTTCTCAGCTTGCAGCCTCAGATTGGTTTGTTCTGCAGGAACATTGCACCTACCTTCTGATTAGCTTCTTCTTTGTCACACTGATCAAGTCTAATTGGAAATATTATGACTGTGAGTAGATTTGGTTGGAAAGACCAAATGATGAATGCATGAAAGATTCAAGTATGAGGGAAGTTTTTATTGATTTCTGCCTTCGTCAGTTTCCCACCAGTCTGGTTTATGCTGTGTAATGGGAGGTTGACTGAGAAGATAATGATATACTGGTATTCTGCCTTTGCAGATAATGATGCTGTTATATAAATAAATAAATTTTGGTGGTAGTAGTGAAGATGATGATCATGTTTCTAATGATAATAATGATAATCATTTTATATAGTGCCATCATTATCTGCAGAGGCAGAAAATATTATCTGATGACACAACCACCATTAAACAACATAAACCAGACTGGTAGGAAAGTACTGAAGCATGGGTAAATCAATAAAAAATTATCTCAGAACTCAATATTTCAAGCATTCATCATTAATGCTCTTATTGCTCTAATCTCTCCTTCCCTTACCCCTCCCCCTCCCCTCCCCACTTCTTCAAAAGTAGATATTATTTAACATTGCTCATAATATACCTATGAAGCACACCTTCCTTGCTGAAAAAAACAAGCTTTCTGCAGAGAGTTCCAGAGATTTTTTAAAAAGAGTATAAAGGATGAGTCACTATTTAAGCATTTCCTAAACCAGATTTACTAATAACTTCTCTTGGGATCATAACTATATCCAATTAACAATACAGCAGCTACCTGCATGCCTGCTTTATAAATTGTAAAAAGTACAGGAGATCAGGTGAAATGCTGCATAATTTCTATCACTATGAAATTGAAAGTGTAATATAAATAGGCATCTACCTTTTTTAAGTGGACACAGTTTTAAAAAGAAAAACCACACGCAACCCAGATGCATACAAAATTAAGGATCCGGATGTCCCACTTGCCTAAATTATCCAGTGTATTGCAGTGTATAGGCATTCAACGTAACCTACACTACATTCCCAGATCTTGGTAAGATTCTTGAGCTACATATTTTAGATTAACTTTATATAAACCAAAAGCATATGGAGGAGAGTTATTCAGAAGTGCTGTTGAATACCATGGTTATTCAAAAGTGGAACCATCAACAAAATTAATATCTCTAGGCTGAAAAATACAAATATTAGGTTTGTAATGTTTGTCTCAAAAACAAAAGCATGTATCATCACCTCCAAATTCTTCCCTGGCTTCAAATTATAATGTAAGGTTCTTCTCCACTAAGTTGCACTTGAACTCTTTCTCAACACTACTCCCTTTCTTTCCTCTACTATGATGTACTGCCCTACCTTCCTTATCATACAACACATTTATAACACAGTGATTCCAATTTAACAACCTTGGTTCCATTCTGTGTAATTCCGGGATTTGCAGTTTAGGGAGGGATAAAAACAATCCTCAACCAGGGAACTCTAGTGCCTCACCAACTACAAACCCCAAGATTCAGTTAAAGTAGAATCACAGCATGTTAATAATTATATATTATATGTCTACAGCTACAGACAGTTTTAAAAATGAAGGAGCTTGTGAATTGCCAGTCATGCTTAACAAAATACTCAACACATTAGGTATTTCTAAGATAGTGTGGGCAGGTAGGCCAAGTCCAGGTTTGTCATTCATTTCCAAACAATAAATAACAAGTTTTTTTTGTAATTAGTCCACTGCTTTTCTGGAAAAGCTGGTCCTGCCTCAGCCAGCGATTGGAATCCTCTGTATATATCCACATATCTCTTCACATATTACTGTGGTTTGGATCTTGAACATGTGAAAATCCAAACTTTAAAGCAGTGATAACCAGTACACAAGATACATGCATTCTTTGCTCTCTTTAAAGAACGTTAATTTTTGCCTCTACTAAACTCATATTCTGCTATGATAAAGAATATCGTAATGCTGAAGCAGCAAAATTTCTTGAAGAGCAAAATGCACTAGGACTCTCCAAAACAAAACACACACAGTCTGCACACTTTATTATTTCAAAATACGGCTTTTATTGCTGCCAGCTGAAATACAGAATGTCATTGGTACAGGAGCAATTTTAAAACAAAAGGCAACTTTTTTGGATCATCGTCCAAATTTGAAATTCAGAAAAAAAGCAGAACCAGAATGCACTTGTAAAAGGGATTCATCATTGAATTGTGGACATTCCTACTTTTGTGCTAGAGCCTTAGAAGAGTAAAGATAGCAATTTTGAAACATGCACAGATCATTTCACAGCTGTAATGCTTTCATTTATTTAACCTTGGCTTCTGAATGGAGTGCCAAAAATAAATATGTTATATTGGTAGTCTAAGAAAATAATAACTATGTAAGTTGTTGTGTACCTTCAAGCCATTTCCAACTTATGGTAACCCTAGGTAATCCTATCATGGGATTTTCATGACAAGATTTGTTCAGATGGGGTTAGTCTTTGCTTTCCTCTGAAGTTGAGAGATTATGGCTTGAGCAAAATTGACTAACGGTTACCATGGCTGACTAGAGATTTGAACTTTGTCTACAGAGATGCTGTCCAATTCTAAAGTTACTAATATACCATGTTGTTTCTCTATCAATGTAGGGCTGCTAAAACAACAAACTTATAATTTTGAATTTAATAGAATAATTGGAACCTGATTCTCTAAACTTTTTTTCTGATTTTTCCAGCTCCACTCATAGATGTCACACCTAGCCACAGTGGTTCAGCTATGCTGATGCTGCTATCCGTGGTATTTGTGGGATTAGCAGTATTTGTAATCTACAAATTCAAAAGGTATGATGTCCTCCTTCTTTAATTGCTATTCTTCTGGAAGGTGTGAAAGCAAAAAGAGTCTCAGCGTACACACCAACAATGGTTTCTGTTAATGTTTTAGGAAGATTCCTGGCATTAATGTTTATGCAAAGATGCAGAATGAGAAAGATCAAGAGATGGTCAGTCCAGGCAGTCAAAATGAAAGCATGCCTAATGTCCCTCAAAGGGAGCTGATGACCCCAGAGCAACTAGTAGATGAGAAGTTGGAGACCCGGTCCATAGGTAAATAAATTATAGCACCCAACAATTGGTCAAAGTCTGCCTTCTGACTGGCAAAATCTATTCTGAGTCTCCCAACCTTCTCTGCTAAAACACTCACTATTCCCACTGTTCAGTTAATCTCTCTAGTTTGCTCTAAACTAATTCCAAAATCTTTCCTCTTTCTGTTCTGCTTAGTGAATAAGAAAATTGACATTGGCATTTTGTCATCACTATAATCTCTCTCTCTGAGTGTGTCTGTCTGTCTCCCTCTTATAAAATGCACTTGTATGACTGTTATATAGCAAGGAAAAAAATTATAGCTTCTTCTTTGTAGTTTCAGACATGAAATTCAATTATAATGATAAAATTGTACTAGTTACTTGACAAAGTTCAAAATCCTCCTGCTATCCTGTTTTTATATTTAAAAAACTATTTCTATTGTATAAAAGTGTTGTTCTTTTTTTTGGGGGGGGGGGATGATTTATTCCCATCTTACATTGTAGGGAAAATCCATATACTGTACAGTACATGCTAAATGTTTAAGTCCATATAACAACTGAATAAACACATATAATACAAAAGCATCCGATAAATGTTGTACTTACAGAATGTTATCTCACAAGCAGCCATGTCCCACCAACATTGTTGTTAACTACTAGTCTTGGAAAACAAACATGCAGACTTATTTTCTGTCATTTAACTCCAATACCATTAGCTTTGTGGGGGGGGGGGGTGATGTTGTGGATCACAGTAGTCTGAGAAGTTTGCAGCTACCTGAAAAAAAACCTTAATTATTTTGGTTTGACAAAATAATGTTGTGTGGGTTAGGTTAAGGCCACTTTCTTAATAGTAGTCCTCAATTAGTAGTCCTCAATTAACCAAGTTGCTTTTGGCTGGCAATCTATAGAATTTCATCAAAGACAAGAGCCAGATGATTGCAGTCAAGACAAACAGAAACAGAACAATCTTTGTGTAGATGAAGTTTTGTGTGAAACTGTGATATTCACTAAAGCGTAAATTACTGTAGGCGGCAAATAAGCATTTGAGCAATAAGCAGACTTTAAATTTGCCACATATTTGCCCCTGATCAAAGGGGTGGGAAAGCCAAAATATGACAGCGTTCTCCCCAGCTGCACATATAATGCAGGCTGATGGGATCTCTATGTGATTGATTAGCTCTTATGAACCTACCTATTACCAAATCAAAACATTGATTAATTTAGAATTTAGAATACAGTCAGTGTCCACATTTAGAGGTTTAACTTTTGCGGATTTGATTGTCTCCAGGAATCTGTAGATCCTCCAAAGCAATTATGTGATCAGTGTTTTGTGGAAGTTAATCATAGCACCATGTTGGAAGACCTAGAGGTGCTTAGAAAGGTGTTCTTTTGGGGTTAAAAGAAACTTTTTAAATTCACTCTTTTCCTGCTTTTGTGTGGGCCTTGAACCTCAAACTAGTGGATTTGAAAGGATGACTGTAGTCTTTAATCTTTTTACTTGGGTCTTGGTTTTTCTGCCTGTTCCTTTAAAAAAATCAACTAGAACACTAAGTTCCACCCTCTGTACATTGTCACTAAGTGCATCATTTCTTATGTTCACTATCTACAAGTTATTTTTCTTAATCATAGTTCTGCCTACTCAATACTGAATGTATCCCTGTTTACTGTGGATGAATATTGAATATTTCCTTTTTGAATACTGTATGTTTTTCTTGATTGAGATTCCTGATTTTGCTTTACCATTTTGACTATTGCAAGACCTAGTCTGATTTAGCCTTATAATTGGACTTCGTCCTCATTCACTCTGAGAAAAAATAGACCACAGTGTTTTTATTGATTTTTCTCCTTTTGATTCCTCTGTGTAATACACCTTTCTTTAATTGCCTGAGGAATCTAGGAAATGAGATTTTATTGTCAGGGTTAGGTGAGAACAGCATATATATGAAGATTGATAAATGGCTGCCCAAGATGTGTCCATTTGCTCCAAATGTTCTCAGTGCTCCCCTAAATTTGCAAATTATCATCTGGGGAGTCCCATGTTTCCAGCTGAATGTCACTGAATTGTACTATAAGTGTTTTGGCAGTATTGAAAATGTAATATTCTGCCTCAGTCCAAGATATAAATTGGATCACTTCTGTTTCTTTTTGCAGTCAACAATTCATATTCAGCCTGTAAAATGGAGTGGCCGACCATGGAAGGTTTGGGGCTCACACTGACAGGCTTAACCTACTCCACTGTACCTCCAGCAGAATGTATTTTTGCATCAAAATAAGAGTATCACAGACACTTAAGGAATATGTAATATAACAAACTCTTCAAGTCATGAAGGGCAAGAAAAATTCACCTACAAATTGCCAAACTGCCAAACAATAAGAAAATGCTATAAATGGTAATTTTCCAGAGTACCCCATACAACTCCTGAGACATATAATGTGTCATAACGGATACATTATGTGTCTCAGGAATTGACAGTGTTAATAACAACAAAACTATGATTCTCCATTCCCCATTTAATTTTGCTGAATGTGATTTGCTCATCTTTTTACAGCCATGTCCATAAAAAAATAGGGTTTTCATTAAAACATTGAAAGCAGGTCATAGAATATCATCTCATCTCCTATAGCAAATTCCTCAACTTTAAATAGCAAGTACATATATTAGAATATCTCCAGCAAAGGATCACCGCCTTGTCGGGGCGCTGGAGCTTGAGCACCTCAATGATGTCATGAGCGAAACCGTGAAGGGACACCCAAGACGGGACGGTTGTGGCAGAGAGGTCAGACCAAGCGTGATCCCTGGGGAAGGCAATGGCAAACCACTCCAGTATCCTTGCCAAGAAAACTAAATGGACCAGTACAACCAGAGATATGTCGGTATGCCATTGGAAGATGGGACTCCCAGGTCGGAAGATGGCCAAAATGCTAATGGGGAGGAGCAGAGGATAAGTTCAACTAGCCCCAGATGTGATGACGCAGCTAGCTCAAAGCCGAAAGGAAGGCTAGCGGCCGACGGTACTGGAGGTGAACGACGAATCCGATGCTCTAAAGATCAACACACCATAGGAACCTGGAATGTAAGATCTATGAGCCAGGGCAAATTGGATGTTGTTATTTGTGAGATGTCAAGACTAAAGATAGACATTCTGGGGGTCAGCGAACTGAAATGGACTGGAATGGGCCACTTCACATCAGATGACCACCAGATCTACTACTGCGGACAAGAGGAACATCGAAGAAATGGAGAAGCCTTCATAATTAATAAGAAATTCGCTAAAGCGGTGCTTGGATACAACCCAAAAAATGACAGAATGATCTCAATTCGAGTGCAAGGAAAGCCTTTCAACATTACAGTGATCCAAATATACGCCCCAACCACAGCCGCTGAAGAAGCAGAAGTAGATCAGTTCTATGAGGATCTGCAGGACCTACTGGATAATACACCAAAAAGAGACATTATTTTCATTACAGGAGACTGGAATGCCAAGGTGGGAAGTCAAATGACAACTGGGATCACAGGCAAGCATGGTCTGGGAGAACAAAATGAAGCGGGACGCAGGCTGATAGAATTCTGCCAGGAAAACTCGCTGTGTATAACGAATACTCTCTTCCAACAACCTAAAAGACGGCTTTATACATGGACCTCACCAGATGGTCAACACCGAAATCAGATTGACTACATCCTTTGCAGCCAAAGGTGGCGGACATCCATCCAGTCGGTGAAAACAAGACCTGGGGCTGACTGTAGCTCAGATCACGAACTTCTTATGCCCAATTTAGAATAAAACTAAAGAGATCAGGGAAAATACACAGACCAGTTAGATATGATCTCACTAACATTCCTAGCGAATATACAGTGGAAGTGAAGAACAGATTTGAAGGACTAGATTTAGTAAACAGAGTCCCAGAAGAACTATGGACAGAAGTCCGCGACATTGTTCAGGAGGCGGCAACAAAGTACGTTCCAAAGAAAAAGAAAACCAAGAAGGCAAAATGGTTGTCTGCTGAGACACTGGAAGTAGCCCAAGAAAGGAGGAAAGCAAAAGGAAACAGTGAAAAGGGGAGATATGCCCAGTTAAATGCGCAATTCCAGAGGTTAGCCAGAAGAGATAAGGAACTATTTTTAAATAAGCAATGCATGGAAGTGGAGGAAGACAACAGAATAGGAAGGACAAGAGACCTCTTCCAGAAAATTAGAAACATTGGAGGTAAATTTCAGGCAAAAATTGGTATGATAAGAAACAAAGATGGCAGGGACCTAACAGAAGCTGAAGAGATCAAGAGAAGGTGGCGAGACTATACAGAAGATCTGTATAGGAAGGATAACAATATCGAGGATAGCTTTGACGGTGTGGTGAATGAATTAGAACCAGACATCCTGAGGAGTGAGGTTGAATGGGCCTTAAGAAGCATTGCTAACAACAAGGCAGCAGGAGATGATGGGATCCCAGCTGAACTGTTTAAAATCTTAAAAGATGATGCTGTCAAGGTGATGCATGCCATTTGCCAGCAAATATGGAAAACACAAGAATGGCCATCAGACTGGAAAAAATCAACTTAGATCCCCATACCAAAAAAGGGAAATGCGAAAGACTGCTCAAACTTCCGTACAGTGGCCCTTATTTCTCATGCCAGTAAGGTAATGCTCAAGATCCTGCAAGGAAGACTCCAGCAATACATGGAGCGAGAGTTGCTAGATGTTCAAGCTGGGTTTAGAAAAGGCAGAGGAACGAGAGACCAGATTGCCAATATCCGCTGGATAATGGAGAAAGGCAGGGAGTTTCAGAAAAACATCTACTTCTGCTTCATTGACTATTCTAAAGCCTTTGACTGTGTGGATCATAATAAATTGTGGCAAGTTTTTGGTGGGATGGGCATCCCAAGCCACCTTGTCTCTCTCCTGAGGAATCTGTACAAGGACCAAGTAGCAACAGTCAGAACTGACCACGGAACAACAGACTGGTTCTAGATTGGGAAAGGCGTACGGCAGGCTGTATACTCTCACCCAACCTTTTTAACTTGTATGCAGAACACATCATGTGATGTGCGGGGCTTGATGAATGCAAAGCTGGGGTAAAAATTGCTGGAAGAAACATTAACAACCTCAGATATGCAGATGACACCACTCTGATGGCCGAAAGCGAGGAGGAGCTGAGGAGCCTTCTAATCAAGGTGAAAGAAGAAAGCGCAAAAGCCGGGTTGCAGCTAAACGTCAAAAAAACCAAGATTATGGGAACAAGAATGATTGACAACTGGAAAATAGAGGGAGAAACCGTGGAGGCCGTGACAGACTTTGTATTTCTAGGTGCAAAGATTACTGCAGATGCAGACTGTAGCCAGGAAATCAGAAGACGCTTACTTCTTGGGAGGAGAGCAATGTCCAGTCTCGATAAAATAGTGAAGAGTAGAGATATCAGACTGGCAACAAAGATCCGCCTAGTCAAAGCCATGGTATTCCCTGTAGTCACCTACGGATGTGAGAGCTGGACCTTAGGGAAGGCTGAGCGAAGGAAGATCGATGCTTTTGAGCTGTGGTGTTGGAGGAAAGTGCTGAGAGTGCCTTGGACTGCGAGAAGATCCAACCAGTCCATCCTCCAGGAAAAGACAACTATGCTGGGGAAAGTGGAAGGCAAAAGGAAGAGGGGCCGACCAAGGGCAAGATGGATGGATGGCATCCTTGAAGTGACTGGACTGACCTTGAGGGAGCTGGGGGTGATAACGGCCGACAGGGAGCTCTGGCGTAGGCTGGTCCATGAGGTCACGAAGAGTCGGAGACGACTGAACGAATGAACAACATATTAGAATATGTTGTATATTTAGTGGTTCAGCTACTGAAACAGATAGTTATATTTAAAAAACCTTCTTAATTGTGAAATACAATATTGCCTAGTGGGTTAAGTGTTAGACTAGGACTTTAAATGAAGGAAAGGAGTAAGGTAAGAAATCATTAAAAAATAGCTTTGCTTTAACAGTTTTCTTGGCACAGAAAGTATGACATCATCAGTGTAGTAAAAATAAATAGCAGCAGGAGTTTCTCACACACATTGAACATATACACATAGTGTTCAACCATAAATAATGTTGGGAGAAGAAAAGCACATGAGATAAGATCACAAAAAGCACTGAACCACAAAAAACTATACAAAAAGAAATGAGTAAAAGAAAAATAGCAAAAAATGTGAACATAGTTATATCAGGAACTGAAGGCCAACCAAAAGTATGATTCCAAAAGAAAACCAATGCAACAAAGGAAGTGCCTTGTGAGAAAAAGGAAGCTTTGCTCACTGGAGAATGAGAATAACACAAAGTATTAAAGAACCATGAACGTGAGCATTTAGCTGCATTCTATCACTTCTGCCTGCAAACTCAAGCCACACAAACCTCTTCTAGTATCTCAGGGTGCTTCCAGATAGTGCCAAAACTAATACCAAAGCAGGTATAAATAACCCACTTCGGTGCAGGTTTCTATCCGCACCTGCTCACCCAAGTCCAGGTTTTATTTTTATTTTATTTTGGGGGGGGGGGGTAGCTACATGCCCTGCCAGGTCAACCTTTGCCCCCTCATTCTCTTCCCCAAAACTTACCCCAAGGGCTTGCCAGGCATGGAAGGCCTCTCCGGAGAGCTGTGGAGTCACTCCAGAATGATGCTGGAGGAGAGGAGTGGAGAGGGAAAATTCCTTCTCCCACTCCCTCTTCTCCAGTGTCATTCTGAAGTGAGTCTACAGCTCTTTAGAGAGGCCCTCCATACCTGAAAAGTCCATGGAGTAAGTTCTGGGGAAGAGAATGGGAATCTGGGATAGGAGGCGGGCTGCCATCCTGCTCCTCCATGCTTTTGGAAGTCCAAAGAAGTGATATGGCTGTGGGGACTCACACTCGAGTAATCCTGATAAGGAGTCCCCAGAGGTTGAATACCCCATTAGACCTGGGCCTTTCAGGAATGCCATGATCTAATTAATTCTGAATTAAATCATTTTTACCAGAGACATCATTTGGACACCTCCAGAAAAAAACTAAGACAGTTCCCGCTTTTTGAGACTGTCTGGAAGGGCCCTTTATCTCTAGTTTTGTCCCCATATGTGCTTGAAAAATGAACATCTCTCAGCTTTATTTCAGCTTTGAAACCTCCTTGGCATAGCAAATTTGGATTTTTTTTGCCCTCTCCTTGAAGAAGGATGTAAAGCCATAGGAATGTCAGAATGAAAATAAATATCAAGGGGAAGTACAGTCCTTAGGATTAAACTTTTCCTCATTTCTACAATTATTTTTTTCCAGAAATATATGTTTAAATAATTATCAGGCAATGTTAAGGTTTTTTGCCTTCCAATGAGCAATCACAAGAGAAAGCATCCTAAATAGTAGACAAGTGATTTTTCATGTGCTGTGTCAAACAAAAATCTTTCACCACTTCTGCAAAAAACAAAACATGATAAAGGTGTTGTATAGGTTAAGCCCAAGTCTATTTTGTGTACAGGTAGAAAACTGTCACAGAGAAGTGACTTCCAATGCAGACTAAGAAGTAAGAGATCCACAACAGGGAAGGGTATTCAGTTTATCAATTCTTCCAAAAAGATACTATCTCTGAACATACTTTTTTTTAATCAAATGCATGCAAATATTTATTTGTTTATTACTATGTGGCTTTTATTTCTTAATAATCTTTCCTTGCTTCTCTCTTCGCACTAGTAGAATAACATGCAAGAATTATGCTTTTAATTCCTCTAACTATTTCTAGCTGGGGTTGTTTGTAGGGTTGCCAGATTTCCAAAGACCAATTCTTGTACACAAGAGGCTATTGGGAGGAAAATTTCCTGGACATCCTGGACGCCAACCAACGAGCGTGACCAGACAGCCAAGGACTGCCCAGGGTCCAGAACCAGACAGTGCATAGACTGTTGCCCTGCCGATGAGCATGATGGTGGTCAGATGTATGAGGAGCGCTCGCCAAGCGCAGGTGTGCTGGGTTTGCTGACCTGCTGACTATTAGACTGGCAGTCAGCTAAGTGGAGGGGGTGGTGGTCTAGGCTGCTGTCTACGTGGGGAACAGACCAAAGCTTCGATGTTGGGGAAATGAGTGGGCAGTTTGCAGCCCTTTCAGAGCTGCCAGTCACAAGACTTGATTATGAACCTTGTCCTGGACACTGGACAAAGCTGGCATTTCCTATACTGTCTAAGTCAACCATGGATATCTGGCAACCCTATTTTGAATCTATCCCTTGGCTTAATCTGAGCCAATCTCAGCCTGAAAGTGGTTTGCAATGCCGGGCTCAGCCTTAGTCAATGTGTGTGTTTGTGCGCGTGCTCTAAAAAATAGCCTGTGAGGATTGTCTTTCTCTCTCAACTCTTATAAAAACCAATTCCAGTATGTCTGGGATTAAAGTGTTTGTATAATGTAGAACTGTATGTGGATTTCTACTTACACAGAAGAGCTATTTTCTGAACCTGAGTTAAAAGACATCCAAGTGGATTCTAGTTATTTCTCTTAGTGCTAGTGTAATTGTTATTTTCTATGAGGCCTTGCTTGTTTTGCCTCTTGTGGACCAGATTAGGTGGAACATAAATGCCAAATAAATAAATAGTAATTGGAATCTACACATGCTTCATATAATTAATCTGTTTCTCAACTATTTACAAAATGCAGATGGATTTTCTGCATTTTATCATGACTCTATGGATTTGCAGAAATTTTTATAGGGAAATTTGAAAGAGGGAAATTCAGAAATATCCTTAATATTGATTTTTCTTATTTGGCAACTAACAATTCTCTATGCAAGTGTTGTGGCCTACAAAGGCTGCCATGTTTGTGTGAAGGATCTAAGGTTGTAGTAATGGAAGACATTAGTGAAATGTCAGCATAAATTCAATGAGGCAGGCATATTTTCTCCTAGAAGGTCATAACTTAAGTTCATTTGAATTCAAAGTGAATTTTGCTACAGGATTAGGGTTCAAAATAATGAATGGTCATACAGAAGAAACACTATCATGCTAACTTTCAACTTATTCCTCCCTCTGTAGAAATTAACCACTGCCCATTTGACATATACTGTGTCTCTGCTCTTTGGGCAAAGACAAACATCTCTTCAGATTGTCAAAACCCAGGTACCTTGCATCTTATTTTGAAAGCAATTAAAGTCCTTGCATATTTTCTCAGAGGACTACTATTGCCCCAGTCCATTTTTTTCTTTCACATTTTGAGTCACAATTTGACAGGTTAAGATATTAGCACAGGAACAAGTAGTTATGAATATATGAGCTTCTTCTGAAAGGAACAGCAGACATTTGAGGTGCAAGTTATACTTATGAGCAAAAGTTCAAGGTCTAAGGCAAATGGCAAAATATTAAGATACTTTCAGTTTCCTTAATAACTGTATGCCTAACTCTGCTTTCTTCTTCTTCTCTCTCTCTTTCTCTGTGCTACAGGAAGTATTTCCACAGTTGCTGAACCTCAAAGCACAAAAGAAATCCCCACTTGTATAAATGTTTGAAACAAGGACACCGATCAGTCTCTATCCCCTTTACCCTTAAATATAAATATATATATGTATAAAGAAAGAAAGAAACCAACTGCTTTTGGACTTTTTGATTATTCTGATGACAAAAGGGTTTTTAGCTTTAAACCTGTGCATGTGGATGTCATTTGGATAACATATTTGGAACTGCAGTGTACAGGTACTCTATTTTAATGGAGTAAAAGGAAAAGGGAAAAATATCCTCTTAATCCTCTTCTCTCTTCTTTTCTAATCAAGGTTTAATTTGTAGATGATTCATACTGATATAGGCCAAGAATGTGCATGGGGAATTTGGGGGAGGGCATGAAGTGGGGTAAAGGTTATTGACTTTTCCAGCATCATTTTTGTGCTTTTAGCACAACAGGATTGTAGGAGGATTTGTCACTAAAGCCTACATTCCAAAAATACATCCAAGAACTGCCCTCAAGTTTAAAGGCATCACAATGTTCTCATGGGTTTTGCTCTCTTGCCATTTTATTGTTTGTTTATCTCTTTTGTCTACAATAACTGCTCTAACTTCTTCAGATATAGAGTAAGTCCCCAAAGCAGCTCAGGTTCCTTTCGTAATAGAGTATTATACAGAGGTATAACCCATCTTTTTAGTACAATGAAGAAATAGTTCCCCTCACAGTCACATGTATGAAAGCATAGCTACACTATTTTATGTCTGCTCTTAGAAGATACCATCGGTATGAAACATTTCATTGTCTGTTATTTTGTGGAACCCTTTTGAGGAAGGAAAGGATATGTTCTTTAGCCACACTCAGTAATGACATCCACAGATTCAAGCTGTTTTTCCAATATCCAAATAATTTTGTTCTAACAATAGTATTTAAGATGGGGAAAAGTGGTTCAGCAGAAATGCATATTTTCATTAATGCATATTTTCTGTATTCATCCTGGCCCATGGAGGCACTTGGTGGAGCAGTGTGATGGTTGGGGTCACTTCTCACCTTCTAGCCTCTTAACATAATTTCTGCCACCACACCTAGTCACAATTATATAGAACTGGCAACACTTGGCAGTTGTCATAATGCTAAAACATATCAGGGATGTGACTAGAATTCTAAAGATTGCTTTCTATTTTTTTCACATGAAATAAATGAATTTTTGACCCAATCTAATAAACTCCAAGAAAGTTTATATCTTAATCTTTAGAAATCCTCTGCGATTTTTGCTACAAAATTTGGCATCACTTATGTCTATAGTTGTAGTATTCAAGATGATGGGAACTTAGTCTGATCACTGTATAGTAAACCTCACAGTTCTAATAGGCCATAGAAGTCCAATATTAGTGAAGTTATTTTTATAGGTCAATTTGAATGTTTTCTTTTTCTTATAACGTTGGACCGACAGCTAATTTTAAAATGACTTTTTGATGTAATTTTTTCCCTCTTGGTTGATTACAATGTAGTGTAATGTATAATTGCTATTGTTTATTGCTTTTACAGTCATATTTATTAAACAGATTCTGTCTCTAAAGGAAGACACAGATGTTTATTTCTCATTTATCTCATTGTGTTTGGGTGTGACTTCATTTTTTATGTATTTTGAGATTACCAAGTGCATGTCATAATACCAAAGCAAATAATAACTATCCTGGGGTGCATCTCCAGATGCCATGTATGCCATGACCGATCTTAAGTCGGGTCCTCTGAATCAGCCCTGGGAAACCATATAGCCCAGTAGCACCCTACCTGGTTTGACTCTGTTACAGGAACACACTTTCCATCACAAACCTGTTTCCTGTCCTGGTGGTGAACACAGGGCATGAAATGGCTGGTAATCATCACTCACCGCAAGTGCGGACACTGGCTGGAGTGCCAGTGATCAGAGATGGCAGTAGGAAAAGGAAGGCTTGCAGACAAAGTTGTTGAATTTCCAATGCTTTCAATAGAATAGTTAAACAAACGTTTAAATCACTACCATTGACATCAGTGGGCCAGTTAATAACAGAAACCTTCAATCAAAAAAAAAAAAGAACTTTATGCAATATTGTAGCTTTTAAATTGCAGTTTGTGGTGCTGACTTTAAAAAAACAAAATAAAAAGTTTAAATATTCAATATTTTTGTATTTTTTTGTTTTGATTAAGACTGGAAGTGGATGATCCAGTGTGATTCTTTTTAGTGTTTTTGAGCATATTTCCAGTTTTCATAGCAGCAAACTATTTTAAATTTACTGCAAGATTTCAACATCTCTTTTAGAGTGGAGAACACTGCATTAATTCCACACACAGAACACTGCATTAATTCCACTTTAACTGTCATGAATCAATGCTATGGAAACATGAAATTTGTAGTTTTACAAAGCCTGTAGCTTTTTCAGTAAAAAATGCAGGCTCCTCACAAATCTATAAATTGCACAATACCCATATATAAGAATAATATTAATGACTGAAGTAAGAATGGAAAGAATGTCCATTATTCATTTCCTGGCTGAGTAAAGTGATTTCTGCTGTTTTCAAAACCCCTGCTGGGAAGAAAAAAAATAATTATGAGACTACTATAAAATTTGTGATCCTTCCACATTATTTGTCTGTGTAAAAATACCATGTTTTGCATATATACATTTTCCATACAAAAAAAGTGTTTCTTGCACAGAAAATAAATGTTGGATTATATTGCAGTGGAGATAAATTGGATTATCTGGTTTGATCCAGCCTAAGAGACAAGGCAAATAGTAGCAACAAGAGAAAAAAAAAAGGATCCCATTGTTAAATTGTAAACAAACCTCCAGGTTCAGATCATACTCACTGAAGAATTATTAAATAGCTCAAAAGTATAACTGTATATATTCTAAGGTCCCTTCCACACTGCCAGGGACAGCTCAACCATTATGCAAAGTAAGCGTTCGCAGTATATTTGATTTTGCCCAGGGGCGCTCTTGAGGCACTCTTGGGGAAAATAGACCTTGACATATGCGAGTTGTAGTTACTGGGATGTATAGTTCACCTACAATCAAAGAGCATTCTGAACTCCACCAATGATGGAATTAAACCAAATATGGCACACAGAACTCCCACGACGAACAGAAAATATATATCAGTGATTGTTGGGGGGGGGGGCACCAAAACACTGTTTGCTTACACTTGAAAGTTACCTAGGGCCGGCTCTGCATACTGCCATATAAAATCCAGATTGTCTGTTTTGAACTGGATTATATGGCAGTGTAGAAAGGGCTTAAGATTAATATAATGGCTTTGAGATCAGTGGCTGCCTTATTTCAGACAGTAAGAAAAAAATTAGAAGAATGCCAAATAATTAGTTTTAATATTGACACTTATGGTTCTTTGGTTGGATTGGTGATGCCACCTGTGCCTGGAGTCATTGAAGGGCAGAATATAGCTCACATTCAATACTCATCTTGGGTCTCCAAATATATTGGGTTTTTTTCTCTATTCAGGAAAGTAGTACAAGATGATACATTTTGCATCTTCCCATTTGCTGAATGATTCTAACATGCTGTGAAATTAACTATATATCAGTTTCCACTGAGAAGGGGTAATCAGTTTCCAAGCTTCTTAGAAAGTGCTCTAGCTTTCTTAATTTCACGTCTGCTTTGTAAATTTCATTTTGGTTAGCAATTTTTTGTTTCAGAAAATACATTACATACTGCTTTAAAAAAAGGTCTTGGACAAAATCTTTACTTAGTATAGGCTATATATATAGTATTTCATTTAATATTTTCCTATACACTAGTATAGGAAAGTTCTAAATATAGACCATCAATTTAATGAAATGTATATGAAAAAAGGATTAAGAATGATGCCTCCAAACAAATCAAGCCCATAACTGCCAGGATATTTTACTGAACAGATGCAGACTGTCTACATCAGGGGTCCACAAACTTTTTAAACAGAGGGCCAGGTCACAGTCACTCAAACTGCTGGAGGGCTGGATTATAATTTGAAAAAAAGAAGAATGAATTCCTATGCACATTGCACATATCTTATTTGTAGTGCAAAAAACAATTATAAACAGTACAATAATTAAAATGAAGAACAATTTTAACAAATATAAACTTATTAATATTTCAATGGGAAGTTTGGACCTGCTTTTGGCTGATAAGATAGGATTGTTGCTGTTATTGTGTGCTTTCAAGTCATTTCAGACTTAGGTTGACCCTGAGCGAGGGCCATATCCAGCCCCAGAGCCTTAGTTTGAGGACTCCTGGTCTACATTATAGGGTGTCCATGCTCTCCATGAAGTAAGACAAGATGGCTAGCCATTGAAGAGGTGCACTGCTACCATTTGGCTAAGCAAAGTAGAACTTAGTGCAGTAATATGATAGTTACCTTCATGAAAATTGAGTTAGTTCTGATTGGGTTGTTGTAGGTTTTTCGGGCTATATGACCATGTTCTAGAAGCATTTTCTCCTAACATTTCATCTGCATTTATGGCAGGCATCCTTAGAGGTTGTGAGGTCCTTATAGAGGAAAAGAACTAAGCAGAAACTTGATTCAATTTGTGGCAGGTTAGTGCAGACCTCGCAACCCCTGAGGATGCCTGCCATAGATGTAGGTAAAACGTCAGGAGAAAATGCTTCTAGAACATGACCATAGAGCCTGAAAAACCTACAACAACTACAGTGATTCCAGCCCTGAAAGCCTTCGACAATACTTACTTCTGATTGCCTTTTAATGGGCTAAGAGCCCTTTAACATTTGATGAGGATGTTGCCGGTTACCCACAATAAAGCAGGCAAACACTTTAACATCATCTGCTTTATGGGGAATTTAATTCAAAAGTACATGTTCATGTTGGCCATGTAATATAGATATAAATGCTCAAATGTGAAGAGAACCATGACTTTAGATCTTATGACAAAGCTAAACAGAGAGGTTTTGAAAAAGATCAGCAAAGCAATAAGATGGAAGAAGGAGTTCCTTTGGATCAAACTTTTCCAAAAGGGACCCACCTCAATTCATCTAACTGAGAGCGGCATCGAAGAAGGCAGTAGGTGAATTTTGACTTAAATATTGTTGATCTTATCCTAAAGGGGATTTGGTAAATGATTTAATGCACAGTTCAAAACACATCTTTTTTTATTAAGCTGTGGCTATTCCTAGAAACTATGAAATAGATTCTGAGTTTACAAAATGTAATATCAGATATGTTTTTCATATTCCTGTGCAGCTTTTTGATAGTGTTCATTGGTACACACTGTATAAGTGAATCAACAGTACTTGTTAGATAAGATGTGGGATTGATAAAGAGGCATTGGTCTATTGGGAATTTATTTGGTTGGCAGTTTTGCAATGACATGTTTTGATAGGAGAAGGTGACCTTTCATGACTAGATCATTCAAGATGATCTAGACATGAAACCCACTTGCAAACCCTGCAAGTGGGTATGGGAGACTATTTGGCACATTCGTCTATTTTTCATGAGTGGAACTTCTCAAGGAAGATAGTATTATTAATCAGTTAAGGGCAACACAACATTCTAGACAATCTCCAAGAGACCTCTATTATGTGGCCTTATAGAGGAAAGGAACTAAGCAGAAACTGGATTCATTTTGTGGCAGGTTAGTGCAGCAAGTGAAAGCTTGGTCAATAATTGGTGATACTTGACCATGGCCAAGAATGCTCCCGCACAATTCAATCTTGAGTGTTCTGAAATGTCATTATTGCTGAATTTAGGTGCAACCATTTGTACTCAAAAGAAATCACTGTCTTTTCTTCTGCTTGTTTTCATGGGTAAAGTTCCTTACTGTATTTATTTTCTTTGAACTTAATAGTTCTCAACTAACTAAAGAAAAAAAGTAATAAAATATGATCCATAGTGGTCAGTGCTAGTGTTTTGCTAGTTGCCTCTAGATCAGTGGTCCCCAACCTTTTTTGTTTTTGACCAGGGACCACTTTGACCAGGGACCACTTGACCAGGAACTACTCTCCAACATTAGTTTTTGGTCAAATTTAGATTCGGTTTGGGGTGCTAATTCAGAAAATTGCATTGGATAGACCACATTAGCTATAGATTCTGATACGGAACATATGCCATGGTCAGCAACAGGGAAGGTGTGGCAGACGGTGCAAAAGGAGTGGAAATAAAATAAATAAAATAAAATAAAGAGGAAGGAGGCTTGTGGACCAGATTTTTGTCTTCATGGCCCACTGGTGGTTTGTGGCCCACAGGTTAAGAACCACTGCTCTAGATGAACAATACATATAAAAATATTGTTAAGTTGCTTTGGGGCATGATGTTAGATTAATTTGGGAACAGGGGGATTTTTTATTATTTGGAAGAGGACTGTGTTCTCTGTGTCCTTTGCATTCTTATCAGTTGCTTGTAGGATGATCAATAACCTCAGGTGCCCATCTCCGAATTTATACCAGTGCACCTTGGTCAAGTCAGTTGTTTTCAACCAGCCTTATATTCTTTGTGCTTATGAATGATAGAGGTGGGCATCTCTATATCAATTTAATATCAGGTGTGTGTGCATGCAATGCATATATATAATGGCATTTGGGAGATAGCAAAGTAT